AGGTCATCCAGCACTATCATGTTCGCTCAAGTTCAAGTTTTCACTACTGCTAATTTCGCGTGAGATTTGTAGAGAAGGACTACAGCGCGTATGAGAGTGGATGAGTTTTAAAAAGAGCGCTTTAATGAAGGTGGGAAGTAGGCTCATGAGATGAGTAGGTGCTAGATGAAGATGATGAAGTGAAAGAAGATAGTTCGACGTCAGGAATCTAGTTGTGTGTAGAAATAGTTGCAGGTATTCCATGAAATGTTATGTAGAGACTGCTAATATATGAAGTATATCAGGATGGATTAGGTGGATGTGGTACTGTACAATCTTGTCAGGGAGCAATACGGACTGGAAAGGTTGTCTCGATGTGATTTCAGGCGATGGAACGGGTTAGTCATATAGATGGAGCTGATAATCGATAGGTTCAATCATTAGAATTTTGAATTCATCGTCTCATCATTCTTTAAAAGTACCTAGTGTATACACTAATCGAATGACCAAAATCCTCATGTGATCAATCTCAAGCATCCCAAGCCTCCACTTCTTTTTCCCAGTCATCTACTGCAGAATCCTGTTCATCTTTCTTCTTTTTCGCCGCCATCCTAGTTCCCAAAACGGTAAAGCTGCTCTTTACACCTATCTCTGGCCTCACTGGAGCTTTGCTTCCGCTGGCTCCTTTGGCCACTTGACTCCACCCACCCCCCAAATGATCATCTTCTCTCCTGACAACATTCAAACTCGAATCTACACTACAGAGAACAATTGTCGATGCTAATTGAAGTGCTTTAACCTTCTGAACAAGGCCATGCTGCATAGCAGTTAGTGCGGAATCAACTTTCGTGTACCAAGTCTCGGGAGCTTTTCCACGAAGGACCACTTCACCAGAAGGTAGGAAAGATACGTCGAAGTCGAGGCCCGCATGTGCGAATTCAGACGAAAGGCCGGTGTGTATCTCATCGATAGTTAATCCAAACCTAGAATTCGATAATAAGAATGCATTGAACGGTTCGGCTGTAGCAACCAATTTCTTTGAAGACGCAGCTTCGACGACTGCCACTGGCTTGACTTTGACACATTGCGCTAGAGTTTTCAATGGTGCAGATACAAAGCGTGGCGTCTTAAAGATTGAGACGTGGCGATGGGGCTCTGGATCTTGACTTTCACTATCAAGGCCATAGTCTTCCGCCAATGAGTGCAGGAATGCTCTCTGATGAGATGGCATGGGCTTGAATCTTAATCTCTTCTCCGATGGATCCGCTGCAAAAACACGGAATTCGCGTTCGTAGGTTTGACAAAATTTGAGCATGTCTTTGACCATATCCAATGTTTGTTGCGAATATGGAATATGATCATCTGTGTGAGTGCTTGGGTCAATATTCAAAGCTGCGGCAAGCTTTGCATTGCGTTGGAGCTTAAGACATTCGTCATTACAATCTAGTGTCTTTTTCGAATTGCCCTCGCTGGTTTTCGATGCAAGACATTTGACTGCTTGCTTCTGATGTTGACATTGGCAGGTGATGAAGGTTTTGCCTTGGCAAGGTAGTGTTTCCTTACAGGGGTAAGGAGCATGGCAAGCATCGGTACAGGAGTGATCGCAAACGCTTTTCTGCCTTTCACACGGTTGATGACATGGCGAAGTCGCGTCTTCGCATTGTCCGGGACGATGGCAGAGACTTTGACAAGAATGTATACCGCACTTTAACTTTTTCCCGCACGGCAAGCCACACCGGACTTCAGTGAACCAACACGGAATGTTTTTCAAAGTCCGTTTGCCACAAATACAAGGCTTCTCTACAAGGAAGGGACACTTTGGACAAGCTTCGCCATCGAGATGGCATTGATGCTTGGTTTGTGGATGACCACAAGTTCTTGCTCTTGTACAATCAAAACGGCACTCGGGTGGTTTCGTCCCGCAAGGCATTGGAGGCTGCAAAACGGTACGGCCACAAGCGCAGCTGATTTCTTCAAATATAGCTTCACGGCATGATCTACAAGGGCCCTTGTGGCAAAGTTCGGCGCAAGCATGTTCACCACATTTGAGTGTGCGTCCACAGACTTTGAGACAGATGTGCTCAGCCTCAATATTCTCTTCTGTCGGCGGAGCATTCAAGGCACGATGCTTACGTTTTGCGGCTTGTCGCTCACTTGCTTTCTTTTCGCCAGAACAACATCGCTCGCCACATTCGTGTCTCCCACAGTTGAGTGTCGCTCGGCATACGCGAGGGCACTGGGGCTTCTCATCCAACCCTTGATGACACATAGTGTTTGATGTTGTCCTACCGCAGCGACATGCAATCAACACCGATTGAAAGCAAGGCCGGCACTCGCCTTCATGACAAATGCCTTGGCAGGTATGCCCGCACTTTAGCGGCAATTCGCACTTCTCTTGACAGTGAGGAATATGCTGGGTGCAATCGGTTCGTGGGGTTTCGAGAAGTGTAGAAATTGGTGTTTTTCCGCAGGGACAAGTTGTGACAACGTCAGGCGACAATGGACAGTGTGTAGGCAATAGGTCTTGAGGGTGACATTTAGTCTCACAGTAATGGTCTGGTTTACCGCAATCAAAGGGTCTACGGCATTCAGAGCCACAGTCAAAAGATCCAATCCATGTCCTCGTGGCCAAACTTTCACCATCAAGCGTACTGGCTGGTGCTTGACTTTCACGCTCTTCATCGCGTTCCGAGCAAGGTAGAGTTTCTTCGACTTTACCACAGTAGCATGTTGATTCAATAAGAACCTCACAACTGCCACAAAGGCCTTCATGACAACTCCGCTCACAATTGTGTTCTCCGCAGGCAAGTACATCATCGCAGATTTGCCCACAAGCCCATCCGCTTTCGTACTTCGTATCTAAACATCTTCTTGAAACCGTCTCTTTGCCACAAAAGCAAGGAAGTGAAGGCCCCATATGAGCGCAAGGTGGACACGGCCCAGCATGGCACATGAGATCACATGGATGTGGACAGTGTCCGATCCGCTTCTTTGAACAACTCTGCCCACAAGAATGTGGTGGTAGCCCAGCTACTGATCGTGGTTCAATTTCCTTCTCACACCAACAAGTATACGATATTGGCAAGTCTTCTTTGGGCAAGTTACAACCGGGACATCTCCATTGTCTCGGTGGTGGCAATTCTCCATTTTCAACTGATCGTTGTTGATGTGTCGATACTTCATTCTTCGACCATTTTTTGACACATGATAAATGAAGAACCGACCAACAACTTTTACAGTTCCATATCTTAGAATTTGGTAAAACTTCGTTGGTACAAATTGCGCATTCGTATTGACCATTTGTGATATCTTCGTGTGTTCGAGTGGCAAGATCTGCAGCTTGCGATTTCGACATTCGACGTGCGCGCGGAGCTCGAGAGGGTCCAGGTCGGGTGGCAATAGGATGTCCAGGTGTAAATGCCGAAGCATCTCCAGCAAGAGAACCAGCGTCAGATGTAGGACTGGTATGCGAGTTTGAGGTAAGTTGCCCTCCAAATACTCTTCCATTAGCCATAGGCTGTCCGCGACCACCCCCTCTTCGACCCCCTCGTCCAAATCTACCATTACCACCTCCTCGGTTGTTTGCGTTCGAATTTCGCGGGTTCGACGGGGCTGGAGAATTTGAGTCTGGCAATGGTGCCACAGAAGCTGGTCTGAGAACTAAAGGGCCATTTGGTACTTGTGCCGTTGAATTTGGAGTAGCGTTTGCGTTTGCATTTGCATCTGCTGGTGCAGGTCCATTGTTCCGATGGCCACCCCGTCTTGGGCGACGAGTTCGTGTTCTAGGAGGACGATTGGAGCCAGGAGCTGAAGACGGTTCTGTGGTGGCCATGATACGTGAATATAACAAGCCTGTGATACTACCAGAGATACTCGATATTTTGTGTAATAAAATCGATTATTGACCAGTGGCGGGGTCGGTATTTTTTTGTTTACTGCGATGTAGGGCAGAGAAATTCAAGAGAGCTTACAAAATACGAAACTTTCGTAAAATAACAAGTAATTGCGCCTCAAGATATACGGCGGCTTCAGACAATAAAAGGAATGAAAAGATTAAGTGGTAGAAAATGGATGAAAACACTTTTTGCTTGCAAGATACGGAAGTAGCACTCTAGTATATAGAGGGGAATAAGGCTGATTTTATTGTGGCAATCCATAAGCTCTTTATCGACGCTAAACTTATCAACTAGCGCTCTTCTGGACTCTTCGGATAAATTTGTCAAGTCCAAGACTCATTCATACATGAGAGTTGACTCATACTCGCTCATTATCTGGAACATTGTAACATTTGCATTGCATCATCGTATGAGATGACTCCGAAGAATCAAATATGGAAATGAATTGACTTATGAGCCAAGAGAGGGTACCACATACTTATTGTCGCAATCTCTGATACGAGGCAAGTTGTATCAAATCTTGGAATCCAACAGCCTCGCGCTAAGGTTACAAGGCTGGTCGAAGTCTTTGATTTTAACCGTACGTACCCAGGTATAAGCCGACCACACTTTATTGTTGATATTGTCGGTCATAAATATGTGTACTGTTGCTTCGTAGGTTGTTCTTGAGCTATATGACATAAGTAACTTTGTCTCTCCACCGACAAATATCTCAGTGACGACCTAGGAATTTGTTCCTTCTCCAACATTCGAAGGAGGAGGTTATCCACTAACCTTACGGCGGTGCATAGATAAATACAACATAGACGCTGAAGAGAAAAATCTCGATATAGCCTCAGTTGTGTAAAGGAATCGCACTCAGCGGTTATCCAACTTGTACATATAAGTATGAGACCTGCCTATGCAGTTTCTTCTGTTGGTTTTCCATTTCTTACCACTTTTTCCCTTCGTAATTCGACACGATGACATATAACCAATAAGCTCAATTGACTCTTTCTTCAACATCTCACCCCTTTCGTTTTCGGCTGAGCTGTTTTATCGCCACTTCCTCATCCATTTATCGATATTCAAACGGAACTCCTCACGCACATTCAAAATTACAACCTTGAGTTGAAATCTTTCAATATGCCTCACTTTACCACTGACACAGATTGCAACCTATCTAATCCCAAATCTTCCTCTTCTCTATCGTCATCTCAACCCCTCACAACCTTCTCACTCTTTCCTTTCCTCCCCCCAGAACTTCGTTTCCAAATATACACCCATTGTCTCCCTTCCCCTCGCATTCTCGAATTGGAATTTTCTCCCCCCTCTCAAACGTTCATTCCTATCTACTTTTCCTATTCTAGCATTCCCGTTCTTCTCCATCTCATCTCCGAATCACGTTCTTTCGCTCTCCATTACTACCAATACATCCCTTCCTTGAATCTTTGGTTTAATTCCTTTAGGGACAGTTTATATTTTCGGATAGATGCTATCCAAATTTACAGTCCTTACTATTCGGCCTGGGTTGAGAAACTAGGGAATTTGCTAAGGTTGGGGGAGAATTATGATGAATGTGGATACGGGCTGCAGCGATTAAGATATTTAATCATTGGAGACGAAGCTTATTCTCACCTGACTACCTCATCCACTGTTCTCGCTTCGCTTCGTGATTTGAAGGAGATAGGGGTAGTTGCGAAAGAAGAAACACTACCTCTCTGGCCGGAAAATGAAGTCATTTTATTCTCAGATAAGAAGACGAGACCGAAGAGGGGGAAATACGATAAAATTGAGGGCCCATTCATCAATTATTCTCATGTCCGTCGGCGCTTCAAAGGTGTGCTCTTGGGTAATTCAGAAGGATCGTTTGTAAGGGAGGAGAAAAGGGACCCATTTGCGGTTGGCTGGTGAAAGATTTGATCTTGATGCGCAAACCCTTCGTCGGGGATTGGTTCTTTTCTTTTTATCTAGTCATATTAATTCGTTAAAATTTTCACCCCATACGCGTTATTCGCTGCAAATTTTGATTTAAGGATATACTAGATTTCCAAGCTACAACTCCAGGCTCGATTCGATCCAAATGGGTATTTTCTCGTCCTCCAATCTCCCACCAATATCCGGAATCTCAATCTGTTATCATGATACATTCCTTTTTTTTTTCCATCTCTCGTTTTTTTTTCATCCGGCTCTCGTGTTTGCAATATCAAGAATCAAGATATCTGTTGCTCCAACGGCCGTCAAATCATCCATTACCACAGCGATCTTCTTCTTTTCGACCATTGAACTAACAGCTACCCAGCCTTCCTCCTCCAAGGCGTTGATCGTGGGTGCTCGCTTTCCAGGGGTGATTTTGACTGCATCTGGGAGGGCGGTTCGTTGAACGTTGTACTGGCACAAGACGTATTTTTGTGCAGTGATGACACCTCGAATACGGGAAGCAATAAGATCTACCAATGCTGGATTTGAGGGTCTTTTGGATTTCACAAGAATTGCTGTACTCGAGACGACGGTATCAATAGCCTTTAATCCTGCTGCCTTCATGGTTTCACCAGATTCTGATAACATATTAATACGGAACTGCTTGAGGTTGATATGTCATTCTCTCACTTACCAACAAGATCCACAATTCCATCAGCGACACCAAGAGCGCATGCAGCCTCAACACTGCCGCTGAGCTCGATAATCTTGGTCTTCAATTTGCGCCCGGATACGGCACCACCTTCTGCCTCAGCTTCCAACGCTCGGAAGAATTCCTCAGATAAACTGACGAAACTGGTACCAATATTCTTTCCAATGAGATCCGATGGCTTCGCATATGGTCCCTTCTCTGGCACTTGTACTTGTAGCTTGCAGGCACCAAATCCCAAATCCATTATCTCCACACATCCTTCTTCCTTACCCTCTTCGACAGGAGTTGATGTTCCCGATTCTGACTTAACTCTCCTCTCGGTTTCGACTCCTGTGGCATGTTCTGCAACTGTGTCCCGTCCAGTAATACCGATATCTACTCGACCTTCACCAACGAACGTAGGAATATCGGCAGCGGGAAGGAAGACGAGCGCAATTGGTAAGTTTTTGACCAATGCTATGTCAAGTCTTGACTCTCTTCGAAACTGAATATCGGCACCTTCGAGCAAATTGAGTGCTGCTTGTAATAATCTTCCCTCTAATGATTCAATCAGCCATCAATCTCGGTGCAGGATTCGGCTCCAATGGTGTCATGACTCACTTTTTGGCACTGCGAATAGCAATCTACCTTCTAAGCTTTTGTGATCGTTAGTGAAAGGCTCATACTCTTCAGAATCTTCGTCTGCAATGTATAACATCTTGAGAACTTTCATTGTAGCTTCTTCGAACGGTAGGAGTTGCTAGGTTCTATGTGCCCAAAAATGCGAAACCGACATCTCCAAACCGTTTAAATAGACTCAATGAAAAGCCCAAGAGCCAACAAGGTAAAAAGGAACAGTTCTTACTGATTCACTAAATCCATTCTGTTGAGAGTGAGGAGGGCAAGCTGTTTGTTTCTGTACAATGTGAAGGTATAATCACTCCGATTGCGGGGTATTCACTCGAATCACAAGCAGAATCAGAGTATGTTGTGTTCGTAAATGTTAAGAAATGTATGGCTTGGATAATTTGAAATATATTTGAAGCAAGGAGAATCACGATTATTCGATAATATGGGAAAGGGACAAGACTTCACTTTTAATATGACTCGGAGATGTTTGACGCAAACTCCATTATTAAAAAAAAGTCACCTAGTACTTAACTTCATCATTCTGCCCCACGTGTAACACCTGGTACTTTCGGTGGTCGGCGTCTTCTCGAAAGCCACTAGTCCCGATTTATGTTAGTGCAAAAATGCTTCAATTTCAACGCTAAGAATATTAACGAGAATCTCTTGCCCTAAGATTCTGCGAACAGGCAAAAAATTATCACCAAGTTCACGTCGACCAGTAAGCCCCGAGTCAATTTATCAACCACATCCCAAAATCCAAGCGCATTAATCCTGTGAGTGACTCAGGAGCTCATTTACGGTTCCCAAATTCTAATAAATTTCAGACCGCAAAAATGGATGCATCAAAGGTCCCCGTCAAGCTCGTTAAGGTCACCCGTGTTTTGGGCAGAACCGGTATGTCGAAATTTGGAGAATCTATATCTGCGGATTTCAAAGGAGGCAATTCTGACAAAATTAGGTTCCCGTGGAGGTGTTACTCAAGTCAGAGTTGAGTTCATGGATGATACCACCCGTTCCATCATCCGTAACGTCAAGGGCCCAGGTACGATTTCACGATTATTTTTATATCCCCAGAATTACATTTCGGCAGCATACATTCGAGAAGGAAATGTTAGGAAGCTAGGGAAGGTGTAGGCTAACTTATCGAAACAGTCCGTGAAGACGACATCCTCTGCTTACTCGAATCTGAGCGTGAGGCTAGAAGATTGAGATAAATTGTTGGTCATAGTTATCGAATGATGGGAGCATTGGGAATTTCTTCATGCATTCAGGTGCAGGCTTTTGCTACGGCTATGGGCTGGATGTACGTTTGATGAATATGGATGGATCAGTTCAAGGAAATACTTTCACCACAAAATAACACGATCGATGAATTCCCGGTACCTTATTTCTACGACAATGTGCAAATCTTGAGACGTGAGAGAATTATTCTTGTGGCCTCGGGGTGATCTGGAGGGTTTGGATCACGGATTGCCGCAATTTCGCACCGTTTTTCGAGGGACTGGAATACATCTATAATAAATGTGGAGAGTCTAGATTCATGGGGAAGATGCAAGTGCGAGTTTCTGCATTGCTATTCACTTCTTGTTCAGCGTGCACCCCGCATTGAAGTATGGAATCCGAATACCATGATTCCAAATTTAGGTCTGAGGAATTTAAGCAAGTCCATTTCAATCCATTCATCTTCCATATTTATTACCCATTCACTTCACCCAGTGCACCTTGAAGTCTTCCTTTGACACAATTCAATATCCCAGAAAGCAGCAACAGCTCTTTTCTAATACACTAGATCACATGTTATTTTCTCTGCCATCGCCAAATTCCATATCAAAACTCAATCTACCTATGAGTAATTCCACCTGAAAGTTCATGGTTGTTTGCATATTCTGATTCTCGCGATCAAACTATCCTTGCGACCTTTGGTCTGAGTTGAATTTGATGTTTGAACCCATTTAATTGATTCATCCACGTGTACAATTCACTATTGATAAATCAACGAGCCCAAAGTCATGATATTCTAATTGACTCATAACACAACAACTTTTCATTCGTATCCACATATTCCTCAATACAGCCACCGTCGTTTTCTCAGAAGACATACCAACCAAGCAACAACCTCAACTCAACTTTGTATCTCGATTCAAACGTAAAAAATTCCAACAAATCCACCACAATGTCTTCCCACCCTTTTCCTCACGCAATTGCAATCTCCTAATTCTCATGTCAAGAATTCGATGGATCTCAACAATCTCGACCAGAGTCTCCACCTCTACCTCCGTTGCCTCCAAACACAAACCACGCAATGGTAAACCCGGTACAACATTACTATTTCTCTCTTCTGTCTTCTCCTCAACTGGGTTCTTCACCTCAATCAGTTGTGTACGCCCCGCTCCCATCACAACTACAAACACAATCGAAGGAGACACAGACCCAACTACAAGAATCGCACGCTTCGCCCACAACATCTCCCTACTCACGCCAAAAACAACAAGCACAACGAAACACCACTCCACGTACTCAACTTCACTCTCAACCAGAATCTCATCGTCATCTCCTCTCACCATCCATACCATCCGCTTTTCAAACCGAACATCAACAGATATTGAATGCATCACATGCTCCGCAATTGAATTACAATACCGTTGTATCTTCAAATCAATATTCAGTCTCATCCCCATTTCCTGATCTTGCAAATCGCCCCTCTCCCTTTCTTTTCCCGGGATTACCTACGCTCCACTCTTCCTCGCCATATACATCTACATCTACATCGGCTTCTTTTTCCACACCCCCTTCCTCCTCTTTCGGTTCGCATTCCGATTCCGATTCCGATCTAGAAACTGGCATCGAAGACAATAGGAGAAACAGATTGCCAAGGATCCACGCCCAAGAACTCGCAGTGCAGAGGGCGCACCACATGTGTGCTTGGTTTACGGTGGTTATGCTTGGGATTTTGGGGGTCGTGGGGATCGTGCGGTGGGTGGTTTATGGATGAGAGAGGGGTGTAAGGGGGAGGGGGAGAGGGGGAGAGGTATATGGTTTATGGTTTATGGTATGCAGTGAGAGATGGAGAAAGATAGTAGAGCAGAGAAGAGCAGGAAGAGCCTCTCTTTTTTTTCTAATATGATATATCAAGGATGATATGAACGTCAACGCGAACGCGAACAAGAAAAAGAAGACCACAAAATCAGAGAAGAAATCCATGCACATGCAATCAAAGTCTAGTAATAGACGTTGACGCATAGATGCTGAGGAAATAAAATCTGAGAGAATAAATCTGTATGTATGTACAAAGAGGATAGAGGGAAGAGGGAAGAGGAAAGAGGAAGGAAAGAAACCGAGAGGCTTCTTTTCACTCTCATAGACAATATCGGGATGTAGATAGATGGATACATGAATATAAACAGGAATCGGAAATCGGAATCGCGGTATTACACAAAAGGAAAGGACGTCTATCATCATGGATGATAGAGAGCAATAAAAATTCAAGTTCTCTGCAAAACAACATATCACTCATGCATTGATGCTATTTAATGAAAATTGCGTACATCCTGTTACATATGCACACAAGACAACCATTTCCATGCTATGTCCTTCATATTGAGTTGTTAATTTCACCACACGTTTTCGCAAGCGAGATATAGAATGCCGATTTTGAAACCATTTTCACAAAAGGAAGAGGTGTATTGTCTAGGTTTGATTGGTTGATTGATTGATTGATTGATTGATTGCTTGGTTGATTGAACCCACTAATATCCTCTCACATTACTACATCCGCCTTCTTACTCATCGCACACATCAAATCCGCATACCACAGCCATTAATGTGATATCGTGGATCCAACCAGCTAGAAATATGTACCTGGAAGCACATGCAAACAAACATCAATTCAATCCCATGCAGTTAGCCCTGTTTAGCCCAGTCCTTTCAAGCCCATCCCATTCCATTCCACAAATCTCGTACACTTATTTATGCCCATCCATCCATTCCTATTCCGATCCAACCTAGAAGTCAAACCCGCACGCAATGCCCTCATATACATGATTAACAGCATAAGCATAAGCATAAATCCAGCAGCAGAAAACGTAAACACGAGAGATGTATGAACAAGAAGAACAAGAACAAAGACAAGAACGAGAAGAAGAATGAAAAACGCATGAGAAAAGTACAAGTGCAAGTACAGAACAAAAAAGCAACAACAAAATTTGCAATCCCAAACATACATCTCAGAAGAAAGAAGGAAATATGGTATCACAATGCTCCTCCTCTCCATTCTGCCCAATCTCCGTCGCGCACCCCGCCCCATCTGTTAGCGCCCCCATTTTAATGTGATACATGTTCACATAAATAAGACGATCTCTCCTCTGTCATTCTTCTTCATTCTCAAACTCCTCCAAAGCTCCTTCTCTTCATCTCCCTTTTCCAGCGCTAATCCTGCTGCCGTTCTCTCGCGATGATATCTCTTCAATGCCTTATTCATCGAAACACCCTTCTCGCTATTGGGACCCTTGTTCACCATGCTCATGAGAAGTTCTGCGCGGGGTTTATAGACGATCATTTGGTTTTCGCCAGGGGAAGAATCACCAGCGCCGTTCATTGGTTTGTATTCGAGCATCTTAGGTCTTTCAGAGGACTTAGTGCGATGCTTGTGCTTACGTTTCTTGGGTCGGTCTTCCGAGTGCTCGCGGGAAGGTTGGCGAGTGGTGATCAATGACATCAAATTGCTACCAAATGTGTCATTGCGAGTGCGAGCACGACTGGCGCGTTTGGATTCCTTGGTCTTCTTGGGTCTTGCGCTAGGCGATTCCTTCTCAGCATCGGCACCAGAATAATCTGGCGATGGCGGGAAGACTGAAGGGCGAGTTTGAAGCTTGCCAATTTCCGCGGTCAATCCTGAATGTAGAACGGGTGGCGCATCATTCATTTGGACATCGCCTTCGCGGGACGATGTATCAACATGTAAACGTTTGCGCTTCTTATCTTTCTTCTTCTCGTCTTTCTTATCCTTTTTCGATTTCCCCTCATGTTCCTTGCTTGGTTTCCACTCAATTGCTTTTGGTGCTGGTGTTTCGAAAGGTCCGTTGGTTGGTACTGGTCCTGATCCCCATTCGACGAGATTGGTAAGACTTGGAGTATCTGCTGCGTTTACTCGTACGAGATCCGTGGAAGGTTTCTCCTCTACTTCAGAACTATCTGCATTATCGCTCATGGACTCATCACGAACTTGTTGCTCATGCTCAGAATCGTTCATGACCTCATCCGCTGCGGGGAGATCTAGTCGCGACGCATTGGGTGTTGGATCCACGAGGAAATCAAATACATTGACGGGTGCTGGCGTTGAAGGGGCAGCTTCGGGGACCGGGGCTGTAGCTTGTTGCGAATTGTCGTACTCATCTTGCGCATCTTCGACGTATGCGTTGTGGGCGGGTGCGGATTGAGAATTATTATGCGAACTATTCTTTTGATTGTTTTGTTGCTTTCCTTTCTTCCCTTTACCCTCTCCTCTGTATAGCGCACCTTGGTATTTTTGCGCCTCGCTCATACAGCTCTTAATTGTTGTCAGCAAACGATGCCCCGCGTCTGAATCATGTTTGTTTACATACCGTATGCGAGCGATATTCTAGGCCCTGAAAATGTACCATGCAATCCAGACAAGTATATGATGCCCCGCGACATTGATTTCGATGGGGGTCAAGTTTCTTCTTCGTAAGGACGTCTCCGCAATTCTATAGATTGTTTCTTGTCAGACCAAAGCTTGTTTGGGTTACCATGGTAGATGTAGGTAGGAATGTAGGGGCAGGTGTCGATGTTTCAATAGGACATTGAAGTCGTAGGGATAATAAACATACCTCACAGCTGAATGATACCATGATGATATATGTAAGTTTTCCTTTTCTTTCCCTGCAGGAGTTTCTTGGATTGTTTGAGATTTGAAGTATTTATAGAAGAAATTTATGAGGTAGAAGATTGATAAGAGTTTTTCCTTTTTTTTTTTTTTCCTTTTTTTTTCCTTTTGGCGAAGAATAGATAAGTTTGCGAGTTTGACCTAGTATCGCGGGGGTGGGAAGGAAGTAGCTAGATTTTGGAGGATTTGAGAAAAGGAACTTGAGATTGAGATGGTAATGTTGCGTAGGTAGGTAGGTAGGTAGGTAGGTAGGTAGGTAGGTAGGTAGGTAGGTAGGTAGGTAGGTAGGTAGGTAGGTAGGTAGGTATAGATAGGTATGCCAAGTATTTGATCTGAAACTTGGGGGAGGGATGAAGAGTGTTTCTAAATAGAAATATTTCCTCTTTGGATTCAAATCCAAGCCTTTTTGGTGCTCTTGCTTTGATATTTGACTGGGGGTATTTTGGGATGGGATGAATGGATAGGATGGATGGTATGGTTGGTTGGTATGTGGGTAGGTAGGTAGGTAAGGTAGTAATAAGTAGGAGGGAGGGAGGGAAGGTAGGTATCAGGTATTAGGTATAATAAGTTGTCTTGGAATGAACAAATATCTTGTAAATATCTTGTAAATAAATAAATAAATTTAACCCTCAAAAAATACTTCTCAGATCTTTTTCACACTTTTTAGACCTTGGACCTTGGACCTTGGACCTTGGGATATTTTTGTGGGATTCAAGGCTATGCAGGTGTACAGCTCGCGCGTTAGTATTTTTTGGGGTTGCATGAAAAAAATGTGATGGATGTGTGAATGGAGTGAATTGGGGGAAAAAAGATGAAAAGTGTTTGGTTGAAATTTTATTTTATTATACTTTTCTTCCTGCTTCCTTTGACTGGTGGAGATGCCGCCCTTCCTGTCCTTCCCCTAGAGAGAAAAGAGAGAAAGAGCGAGACTAGAATACGCCCGGAAGCATGTTCAGAATTAATATTCGTACTACTTGTGTGTACTTGTATGTATGTATGTATGTATGTATGTATGTATGTATGTATGTATGTATGTACGTACCTGTTGCTTGCGACACTTGCGACACTTGCTGAACAGTAATACCAAGGTACAGAGAGAGTACAAGCAAAAGGTCCACGATGTCTACGGTTTGTATCATTCATATTCATGGAACAATGTTCATTTGGTACGCATTCCCACCCCCAATGGCTGATATTATATTGGCTTGTAATGGTAAACAACAAGTGAGATTGAAGAAGAGAGAGGAATGTTCAGTCATTCAGTCATTCATTCATTCATTCATTCACATTCATCACAACCAGGGCATAGACGGATGGATACCTACCTAGGTAAGGTTATGCGATATGCAACATTGAAAATTCTCTAGCTTTGGGCGTCAATTTCAAAGGAAGACATACTTGAAGCACTCATTCTTACCTTACTGCCTAGGTATCTTCATACGAGCAAGTACTATCATTGGGTCGCCTTATGTATCATTATGTGATATCCTCAATTCTTTTACTTTGAATTCATTATCATTGGGCATTGTCTCCAAATCCAAATCCAAATCGACCTTACCTTACCTTACCTTAGACACATGAGAAGATATTCTTCATTGGATCATTGGATGGTCCCCTTATTCCGCCACATATTGGGATCCCAATCGTGGAGATCTTGCTAGGGAGGAAACGTGAGATCGGGTATTCTAGGCCATGAGTTCGATTCGATTTTGCAACTTCCATATGGATGAGTGATTGTTGGCGAGGAAAGGAAGGAGACCGAGTACGCTGCCTCGCTGTACAATCACCAGAGAAAAAGGAAAACGAAGGCGGAAGTATGGAAATATATCCTCGATGGAAGGACTTTTGATGAGAGGAAGAAGTTTGGCTTGAAATTCAACCCACGAATCAAACCTTTCTACTTACTATCTCAAGACGTGTGTATCATCTTGGATAAATTCCCCTCGAGACACCCAAAACATGAATCACATCGATCACACCCTACTCCGTATTTCGTACTCAACTCATCACCCTTGTTTTATCTCAAAATGCGAGGCACTGAGGGTACCCGTGGACATCCATGGATCTTTAAAGATTGTGGCTCAGAATATGACTTAATAGTTGTGTCACAATGACATCGTGTGCTCCCATTGACGCATCTCCCACCCAGATGTAATCTAATCACGACAACATTACAATATTGTAGGCGAAACTGTCATTTGTACGACAAACACATATGAGATATATCTGTGTGATTCCTCATCTTAGTCCGCCCCATGAGAGAAGAAATCGCCTTGTCCGAAGTTCCTTCATTGGTCGGTCGGTCTACTCTCCGGTCTTCTCCCCCTTCATCTTGCCGTGTCCCTTTTGCATTGATGATGTTGATTTGATGATTTGATCTTTCGATCTTTCTATAGCCACGATTCCCATTTCGTTCATACAAGAAGTTTGCCCTTTGGTTGATCCATGACAAATGTATACTTTTCATGCTATGATTAGCTGACGTTTGAACTCGTGCTTACCCGACGATCGCATTGGATATATTAATTAGTCGCAGGATTGCGCAACGATGTGAACCAAAATAGATCTCCGAAGGTTTGAAGGGTACGAAGTAGATGTACTTGTGATATATGTCTTGTAGGTCGTTGTCTAGTGAGCATAATGCGAGTAAGTATCTCTTAACTCTCTATCTAGTTCGATGCAAGTATACCAAATGCAAGTCACCCCTGATGTCTGAATATCTGGATCTCGACCGACCCGAGGTTGTTGAGCATTTGATATGTTTTTATGTGGAGTTGATGGAAGAGGAAGGGGAAGGGGAAGGGGAAGGGGAAGGGGAAGGGGAAGGGGAAGGGGAAGGGGAAGGAGAAGTGAAAGGATTTGTTGGGTCTTGCTGCACTCCTGAAATTCTGAGACAATAATGGGATTTTTGATATTGATATTGATATACAAGAAAGAGTACATTACTCGACTCGTACATGAATGATAACATGATAACATTTTGGCGGTCAATCATCTCTCCTTCGCTCTAAAACAAGGGTCCAGCGGGTTCAACGGTTCATAGACATATATACATACTACATACTACATACATGTTGACTACTTTTGCGCATACACCATCACTCTTCGAGACATTTCATTATACTACTTGCTGTCTAGTTTTACCACTTTCACCACGTCTACCAACTCTACTCTACCTAGTACCATTTGCACATTTATTCATGAAACACAACAATCAATCGATCACTCAATCAATCCACACTTAAGCTCCCACTCACTCCAGAGTGATATCAAGACATCAGACATCAGACATCGAAACATCGGAACATCAAAACATCAAAACATCAAAACATCAAATTCTAAAGAGATCCAGATCCATCTACCAATTACCTACATCAAGACTATACCATGTGTTACTACTACTGACAATCCAATCTCAATCTCAATTTAATTCATCATCATCATCATCACAACTCTCCTCATTCCCATTGGAGGAAGACATTTGGCCATTGACCATCTTCGGTCCTTGAGAAAACGCATTCCTACCCTACCTACTACCTTCAACTACCTACCACTCTCCCCCTTAAAATACATGAAGATGTCTACACAAGATTCATCCGGTGGAGGTTATATTGAACAGGTAACTACTGTTACCAGTTCTATCGCAGGTTACCTCAAATTTCCTGTCCTTGTGTCTTCGGTACATTTTTCTTCACACAATTCCAATCCATTTCATCTTTTCTCGAGAGAAAAGATACTCTGAAGAATATTTGGTGGTCAACTTGGCCACGCTTGTTTTTCATTCATCGTCCTCGTACTTACCAATAATTGCAGGGTATAACTTTTTTACTAAGTTCTCTTCTCTACTTCAAGCAAAAGTATATTTTTTTTCTCTCCACTCTACAAACCCCTTCATCTTTTCTTCCTTTTCTTTCATTCTTTTATCTTCACATCACACACACCACACACCACATCGCGCACCCATTCACAACTTCCTGAAACGATGTTACCATTCCATAAAATACTGATCAATATGTTTCCTCAACCCTCAGGTCCTTGATTTATCCAAGTTCCATCCCAAATGCGGCCCGCACCGAAGTTCCACGACCCTCACAATTCGGCATCTCGGATTTCGAGGAGTTGATGATCCCTACACCTGATGGGGAAAAGCTTTCAGCCTTCTACATTCGAGCACCGCTGACGAGGAAAAGAAAGAATGTCACGATCCTCATGTTTCACGGCAATGCCGGAAATATTGGCCATCGAATACCCATTGCGAGACGATTCATAAACATTGTAGGATGTAGTGTCTTGATGTTGGAATACCGGGGTTATGGTCTCTCTACTGGATCACCGGACGAGAAGGGTCTCATGATAGATGCTCAGACTGGCTTCGACTATCTTCGCAAGAGAGCAGAGACGAGAGATAACGATATTGTCGTCTACGGTCAAAGTCTTGGAGGTGCGGTATCAATACAACTGGTAGCAAAAAATCAACACGACGAAAGATTAGTGGGCCTAGTTTTGGAAAATACTTTTCTATCCATGAGAAAGTTGATTCCATCGTACGATTGCATCCACCACACAGCTATTTTCAAATACTAACACGTCGTAGTGTTATTCCACCAGCCAGGTATCTCGCCTATCTGTGCCATCAAGTCTGGCCATCAGACACATATCTACCCACCATTACCGAAGTCCCAATTCTCTTCATTAGCGGTCTCCTGGATGAAATTGTCCCGTACGTCTTCTTCTTTTCCTTTCTATCTCCCATACACCATCCTTTAGAATGATGACCCAATTTCCATCCACAAAACATGACCTCCCTTCTGGGACCAGATTACACAATACGAGAACTTTTTGTCTGACTAGCTCAACCCAAACCCATAACAATAACGCAAAACTATTTTTTCTATGCCTTTTCACTAACTCCCTCATCACAGACCTAGCCACATGCGCCGTCTCTTCGAGATCTGCCAATCCCCCACCAAAGTATGGAAGCCCCTCCCGAGCGGTGATCACAATTCGAGTGTGGTTGAGATTGGGTATTTCGAAGCCGTCGCCGATTTCGTCGGGAACCTAGACACAAAACATGGTTAATCCCATAACCCCATACCAGGGAGCACGATCCAGCATTCGAATGTTTCTAGCATGTTTCACGTTGCGCTTCAACACAAAATTAATATAGCATTTGGCGAGGCGTTTGGTGCATTTCGGATACTCCTTTTGATCAAGCGAGACCTAGACCTAGACCTTCACTTCATTTCTACTTGAGATGTCCGTATGAGCGATGGATGAATCTCTATGAAAAAAATTCTTTTTTAGAATGGGGAGGATTCGATGCAAGAGTAAGAAGAACAAGATTTACATGAATTTTATTACGAGATTCTATATTATGATAGGTACGGAGAGACGCAGTCAAGAACAATGCAACGCGCTTCCGAGAAGCCGTCCTTGCATCGTCCTACGAGTACATTCCTTCTACGCTTGATGTTCTATTGTTCATACAGTAAGACGTGTCACGCGAATCATGCACTTAATCATAGCCTAATCAAAGATTGTTTTTTTAAAAGAATTCTCATATTTTCATTCCACACCACTTCTGATATCATTCCTCACAGCCCATTCCTAGAATTTTGGCCAGTATGATTTCATTTCCCTCTGCCCATTCATTTCCTACCCTTACTACTCTCCTCTCTTACGCAACTCAATGCATCGAGTGCACATCCGCATCTCCGCTTTCTTAGATGAGAAGAAAGGAAGAAAAAAAAATGAAAATTTCCTACACTGACAATTCAATAACTCCTTCACACATACATAATGACCCTCGGGTATCCATCCATTCATCTTTCCATTCATCCCGCGCCTTTCATCTTCCTTAACGCTTTGCCTTTTCTTCGAAAAAGAAAAAAGCGATTCATCCCCTTTCTCGTCTCTCTGTCCCAAACCCCAAACCAAACAAATGACAAAAAAAAGTTTCCTATCTGAGCATAAGAATTCAAGTCCATATCCTCCATTTTCTCCTCTCATCTCCCCATACGTTTTCCTTCCCCTTATCATCCAGCCTATGTTCTGTTGTCCTCTTTCCTCTTTCCTCTTTCTCACACGCTCTTGCTCACCTGGTATATTTAACAACTAAACTAAAATTAAGACTAACTCCAACAAACCAGAGACATCATCACCTCATGCATACAATCATGAGTTCTGCGAAAATCCCTTTCAGCTATATTAACAACCAAAACCTGCGGCCCAAACATTTGGAAATTTTCGAAAAAGGAAAGAAAAAAGAAAATACGCTGCATATGTGGTTCCATTCCATCCTTCATAAAGAATCGCTCCATAATAGACACTCTAAAAACAATCTCATCGAAATTAGAGATCAAAAGAGAAAAGGAAAATAAAGGAAAAAGTCAAATGAATGAATGAATAACTCAGGCTTATCTGAACGCCTATCCCTAAATCAAGAACGCCCCTCCTTTCCATCCAGACCCGAATTGTGTATGCCAGGAACTAGCTGTAGTCGGGCAAAACAAATAAAATGATCCAATAGAATCATGTCCTATCATCAAGCTTGAATTTATGACACCACCCTCTTTACGCCGATAGCCCTCGTAAATTGTTGCTTTTCTGTGGAAAATCATTTCGGAAAACAAGTACAGATAAGAGTGCTTCAACGCCAAATCAAGAATGTGTTGTTGCTAGAAGAACCGAAAAAAAAAGGAATAGTACACGTTGGAAGGGGTAGATGTTGGCTCATCAATCCATGGCGAGACGAGCAAAGTGCTTACTCCAGATCCAGCCGACTTGATCAGAGCCATCATCTTGATTTTTAGCCAACCAGAGCTCGCCCTTCTCACCGATGACATCAAAAATCTAAGAATCAGTTAGCTTATGACGAGAAATGCCAGATTCAATTGTTAACTTACTTCACCGGGCGAGTAGGTTAGATAAGGGTAACCAGCTTCAGTCTTAGTTGCTGCAATATTAAATTCAAATAAGCTTGCTGCCAGGTAGATGACGTTGTACCGACTTCCATGGGCACGATCCATTGAGGAGGCTCTCGAGGATCGAACGCTATCTTCGGGGCCATCAGGTAAAGGCATTGCCGAATGGAAAATGCCTGAGAACGGGCGTTGATCGCGAAGAGGACCATCTACCATGTATGACGCAGATGCTTGAGTGGAACTTGATTCCCTACGGTGTCCCAGGTCTGTGCTAATTCTTGCTACGCCACCATTATCCGAAGTAATGCTACGTGATGTTGATGGTCTGGTAGAACCATAAAGACGAGGGGCATTTGCATCTGGTGTCGCAGGAGAGCCCGAGCCAGCACGAGAATGTCCTACAGAGTAAGCTGCTGGTTGATATGGTGCATGCGCTGGGAAGCCAGGACCATTTGCCATGATTGGCGAGAATGAAAATTGTCCACTATGTCGCTTTGCAAAATCTGGAGTCGGTAGACATGGAGATGTATCATGTGGAGCTGCCAAGGACAGAAGTCGTGGACGAGCGGACGAATCAGATAGTCGACCTTTTGTTTTTATCGATTCGTTATCTTTGATGCTGGTAACGGGGGTCGAATCTAATCTGTCCAAAAAGCAATCGACCTCGAGTGTGCCATTGATGAGGCGAAGCTCTTGGGTTTGTGCGAGCACATACTTGTAATCCCGCTCGAATGATTGTAAAATGTCATTCTCATTCATTGGTATTTGGTTAGCATCCAACACAGTCTTGACCTTCTCTTGCCAGATGTAGTACCAAGCTGTTTGACTGAAGATAAGTTTGGCAAGTATTGTTTGTCCTACCTGCGCCGTCAATACTGAGAGCCGGGGCATATCCGTCTTCAACGTTTCATTCAGAGCATCGTACTCTTTGGCTAGCAATTGAAGCTTTTCGTCAGGCTTCTTGCCGTTGGCTTTGACAGCCATCAGCTTTTCATAATCTACGCGCCTTTTCGCACGTTTCTTCATGAATTCAGTAGGCCCAGAATACAACCGAATCACAGCTTCGATTGGCTCAATGACTTCCTTTCGGATCTGTCCCACCTGTTTTATATTAGCATGATAAAGTTCTAGATCATAGAAAAATGCTTACATGGCTTTCCAAAGCAACACTCCCCATATCTCTCATGGAAAGGTTAAACTGAGTCCATCGAGCTTCCATTTCTGGGTGTGAAGAAGGGCTATGTCGCATGATTATTTCCATGGCAGAAAGAAATCTAAGAAAATCGTTGACCCAAGTAGCGACCTGTCGAGTATAGTATTCAACATCACGCATGACTACTTGCAGTCGTAGGTAATCATGACCAAACTTTTCATGCAACTTGACAAAAACTTCATCGTCATGGGGCCGAACCACGTTAGAAGTCAGCTTCTCTGATCGTCGTCCAAATGCCTTGGCGATTCCAAGGCGGACTTCTGATTCCTTGCGTTTTCGACCAACAATCTTCCCAACGACTGAAATACGCTCCTTGAGCTTGTCAATAGTCTGCAATAAATTCAATGTTTCTCGAGCTGCAATCGAAAGAGCGTTGAAATCTGGGTGATCTTCAGCTGTATGTCTCACGAGGTTGTCGATCAATAGTTGGTATCGAGTGACCCGCTGGACTGGTTTAACCATCAGAGCGTCGAGATCCCAAGCAGCCGTTAAATCCTTTGCGACATTGTTGCATTCGATAAGCCACACAGTAACCGCAGGGTCTGCTGACAAGATCCTCAAGCGATCTGCTGCCAGTTCGCTGTTTTTCAAAAATCCTGTGTAGACCTCCTGCATCCTCCTGAGATGTTTGCCAAAGGTATAACCAATATAGGTCTTTCGGTCCCTTTCGTCATTGAAATCGTTGGATTCTGGAGGATCTGAGCTACTGTCGTTTGGACCCAGCGATGCAGGGGTATTGGCTGCAGTAGTAGTTGTGGATGTAGCTCTACTTTGTCTGGCGCGAGCTTTGGAAGTGTACACAGCTGCCCCAGCTTTCTTAAGGTCATCCAGCAGAGATGTTGAAAAAGCTATAATCTCATCCGTATTTCTGAAGATGGTTTTGATATCACCAAAATCCAATTTTGGGCATGCTTCTGCTGTACCTTTGTAGATTTCCTCAACTACATTCATGTCTTTCAGATAAGCGGACTCTGTATCAATTATTTCCTCGATAATCTTTCTCCGAGTGAATAGGCGTGCGCTTTTTTTCTTGGCAATTGCTTGCTCTTCCTCTGTGAGAGGTAACAGGGGAGCTTTAGGGGCGGGGTAGCCATTGCTTAAAGATACATCTTCCCGAGATATTTGCATGCTTGATCTAGGAGTGGAAATGGAAGGTGTAGAAAGTGAAGGCCGCGGCGAAACCAAGTCGTCGCTTGGGCGTCTGGATTCAGTATGTTGGCTAGTAGTGTTTTGGCTGATTTGATCGGTGCCCGATTGTGGACGACTATCTTGCATGGCAGGAGGAGGGGGTGTACGAGTAGGAGGACCTAATTTAGCAATTGCATCTTTCCAAGAGTTGTGCTCTGAAACTAGTGGAGGAGTGAGGTTAGACCATGCCGGGACAGTTGGAACGCTATAGATGGTGTCCGGGTCGAATCCAAGGCCGAATCCGTTGTGGGATGTCAATGGAGGTAGCTCGAGCCTAGAAGAATTCATGGAACTTGTGTCCTCTATCGGCCTCAGTGGCCCAGGAGAAGGAGGCAATTTGGGAGGTGGTGTGGGAGCTTTCTGCAGTTCAGGAAGCGAGATATTCGTGTTTATCCACCTCTGATTCTCGTCTTGGGGGGCTGGATCATCTGTTGTGGCAACTGAGAAATCGGTCCAGCCAGAATGTCGGTTTTCACGATGGTAGGCGTCAGATGTAAGATATAATTCTCGATTCTGGTCATAAGATGGTCCGTACAAGTCTTCTTGTTCACTCGTATTTCCGGTGTTTCCCGCGCCAACGTCATCAGAACTTTCATACTCGATATCTGTGGGAGTGTACAAATCCGGTTGTCTATTGTTCTCTAATGGCGATAGGGACTCGGCGAGGGCGGTACGCAAAGCCGGTAATTCTAGCCTGGAGCCTTCCCCGGAAATTGTATCTGATTCTAAGTGTAACTGGGATCTCTCCGTGTCTTCTTCGATCCTGATGGGAATATCTACCAGCTGCTGAGAATTCTCATCGTATAAACCCAAACCGGTAGGCTGAGCAATACCATGTTCGATACTCGCAGGAGCAGCTACTTCGAAGTCCATGTGATGCATGGAGTCCGAATTGAAAATTTCTGATACCAATGTCTTCGCGCTTGGAAGCTCTGTAACAGTGACTTTGGCTTGCTCATCATAGGTGATGACATTTGATGGACTTTCAGAGGCTTCTGATGTCAAATCATGATCAATGGACTCTGGTAATGCTTCACTAAAATCCTCCTTCGGAGTATATCCTATTGAAGTGGCCTCGATAGAAATTCCTAAAGAGTCTGCTGCAATCTTTGCTCGATCCTCAGGAGTCACATCATCTACTTTAAGTACTTGAGCAGGCACTGCAACTGGATCCGCAAGCTTTATAGACGGGATACGAGCAAGGCGAGCACCTTCTGTCTGCGCTTCATTCTCAATAAAAGTCGTGGCAGAAATATTTGAAATTGCGGACATTGGTACATCCTCTTCAATAAATGCTCCAGGCATGCCGTTAGTGACACCCAAAGTTGGCGAATCTTGATCCATGGCAATCTGATGCTCAACGGGTGGCGGGGAAATTTGTGGGTCGAAGCTTGTCAGGATCTGTAATGATTCGGGCCCTAGTGATGGCATATCTGATATCTGGTCTCCATTCGTAGAAGCATTCGCATGTTCGGTACTGGAGCTTTCGTCACCGTTTGTGGCTTGAGGACTATGTTCGTTGGCATGGTGCGTGTGAGATGCTCGAATCTTCTGCTGTTCAGATTCATGGATTGACTTAGTATATGCGCGTGTAATTTGTGCCCGCCGTGCTGCATAGTTAACTGGTTCTGTCGTTATTGTCTTACGTCCTTTCGTCTCAGAAGTTCCGCCAGCTTTAGTCACTTTAGTCCCAGCTCTTGTGTCATGTGGCGATGCCGATCCATCCACTGCCTTTTGTCTTGAACTAGCGGTTGTTGCTGCAGAAACAGGTTGCCGAGGACGTGAACTTCGTAGAGGCGGGGAGTTTTTTGCGGGCGGTGCGGAAATATAAGCTTTCAAGCTACCACTGCTCGAGACTTTGTCTGGGCTACGTGTCTTGGCACGGCTGTTAGGAGGCACAGAACGAGTTGCTGATGTCATCGAGCGTCCCGCAGGACTCCATGGTCGATGTTCTCGAGGAAGCTTTCCATGGAGCGGGCGTTTGCCGGTCAGAGGAGAACTAGCACGCGTTGATGGAGAACTTGATCTATCTGACTGAGTACTCGAGCGTTTGAGCGCAATAGGGAGTCGAGATGACAGCTTTGTTGGCTGAAGTTCGGGTCCACCCTCAGCTTCTACATGAGAAGAATCCGGCGCAATGCTTGGACCTGAATCCTTGGCATTGACTGGGGATTCTGGTAATAGAAAAGAAGAGCGGTTGACATTGTGCATAGTATTTACCTTGGTATCTGCAAAGTCACTATGGGCACGATTGTGACCTGATCTTCGCGGCTTGTTTGGTTCTACGTCGCCGAGCGACGGCGTTACTCCCAAATACCAGGCTGTTGGCGAAGTTGGAGATATATCAGCATCCGTATGACTACGTTGCTCAGTAAAGATGGCCGAAGGTAGCCCTGATTCAGATGTCCTTCTTGTAGCCGTCGGTATACCGTAACCCGCTTCGAATGTGCCTTGACCTAAAGTTGAAATCTCTCCAAACAGAGGACGCTTCTCCGGCACCGCAGGTGGTGGTTGAGGTTGAGATGATGGCGAAAGATTATTCATTGACTTCGAAGTTGAACTGGCTTTGGTACTTGGTGTGTTCCTCGTACGCATGCTGCGGGCGGAACCCAAAGAAGCATTACTTGAATGTTGGTCCTCCGTCGCAAATCTTGGCCGTTGCATTGCTCTTGTACTGGATGAAGGCGATTTAACTCTCGTTGATCTCGGCTCCCTCGTAGTATTACTTGCCCTCAATGACGAACTCGTAGTTATAGGTCCTGGGTTACTAGCCACGCGGGCAGTGTGTGGATTCGATCGATCTCTCATGTATCCGGAACTGATCCCAGCACTATCTTTTGTTCGTCCCACTGGTTTCCGCGGCATAGGAAGGGACTGATCATTGTTTTGATCAAAGCGCTTCAAGAGATCCTTTACACTTGGTTTTTGTGATGCTTTGCCATATCCATTGACTATTGGTTTGGTTGATTGCTTTTGATTGCTTTCAACATGCGATAGATTTGAGCCGGAGGGTGGTCGCGTTGTAGTTCTTGAGGTAGAAGGAGTTTGTATTGGTGGACTGCTGATATTACTTGATCGCATTGTGGAGGAAGCCGGTCTAACATCTGATGTTGTAGCAGTCATATCTAATAATTGATCTGGCGGGCTGTTTGTCTGTGGAAGAGGTTGATAATCTCGGTAGAAGTCATCTGGTTCACCACCATCATCAGAAGTATTCATGTAACCATTCGTGTTGGTAGTTTGTAATTGTAGATTCGAGGTCGTAAGAAGAGGGAGCTTAGGTGGGTGAGGGGGGGCCGGATCGAAGTCAAATCTGTGGGAAAAGTGAGGAGATTCGCAAGTGGTAGAAGAAGGTATTTGCCGGTGTTGTGAAGTCAAATCCGACGAGTACTGGGATTGAGATTGAGATTGGGCTGGGGACTGAGCTTCTGACTGGGCAAAAGACCTAGAATAAAAATTCTGGTCATCTTGAAATCCATCCTCCATTGTGCCTCAACATCTGTTGAAGCTCGTGCTCTAATTGTGAGCGATGATAATGCTGTGATTGTTTATTGATGATCCATACAATTGTGGCAGAAGTTGAATGGCCCTTGGAATACTTGTAGCTGATTCGATGGATTTGATTTGAGCAACAAACCTTATCCTTGAGCTCTGGGCGCACGAGGGAGAAAATTGAATGTTTGTGGCCGTAGGTTGGACGGAAGAATCATAGGACAAGAGTTGGGTATACTTTCAGTATAATGCGGGAGAGAAAGTTAGAGACGGTAAAAGGTAGCGTGGTTTTGTTATGCAATTGGATGTAATTGAATGGAGCGCAACCAATTGTTATGGGTTAGAGGTTTACCGGTAGTAGTCGGGGGTTAGATAGCTTTAATGGGTTTTCTCCACACAGTCTGTGAAGTTGTTGCTTTTCGAGTTTTAAGAGGGTGAAAGGGCGAGAGGGTGTGTGTGAGAGGGTGTGTGTGTGAGAGAGTGTGTGTGAGAGAGAAGGATTAAGTGCGAGTGGTGGTGCAATAAAAGACGAAAAGGTTACTACTACTACGTATACCTAGTATGTATGATAACTTTGAGGTGATCTACTAGGTAGGTAGTAGGTCGTAAGTATTTCTACCCGACCATATGAAAGGTACAAAAGCACAATACTGGTAAAGTAATGTCCAGGTGTATGTAATGTAGTGTATGTAGTGTGGTGTGGTATGGTATGGTGTGGTGTAGTGTATTGTGTATATCTTCAGCAAATGACAGTGACAAGGTAATCAATCGAAATCATCATACATATCAGCCATTGAGGCAATTATGGCCGACTATGGTCAACTATGGTCAACTAATACCGGGTTCGGAAGAATCTCCTTCATGGGACAGGTGGAAAAGCTCAGGGATAATAATGAATTTCATTGAGTCAAGGAAAGTTTTTTGCACAGTTTCCAGTTTCAACTTTCACGGTCATGGATGAATTTTGATTGATCACGACTGGGTATCTAATAAGGTATCCTTCTGCCGCTGCCGTTTGTTTCGTGTTTCCCTTCCAAAGTTTCCTGGCACTATATATACTGTCTGGTATTGGCTGCCATTGCTTGTGATACCTTTGATTTTTGGCCTGTACTTCCATTCCAATTTTATTGTATACACAACCATAATATATATCGAATACTTGTGACAAATCAACAGTGTGAGTGAAGGTTTTAGATTGTATGCTTTGCCATCTATTCTACTCATTAGACACTAGACGAAGAAGCAAATGGTCCGTCTCCTTCAGCCACTCCATCTATATTGAATCATCCATAGCATTATTACCATTATCGCCTCAAACCTTGACACTGAAAGAAAAAAAGCAAATTTCAATATTGATAGTGACTACAAGTCTCTGACTCGGTGACTGGGAGTTCACAGGTCTATTGTGCTTCAAAGTTTGACAATCAGTCAAGCCTGACTCTAAAATAGTATCTCGATGTCTAGGTAGGTAGATGAACTAGGTAAACAAACACCTAAAGAAAGAATTTGATTGTCAGAACCCTTGAAGGTTTGCTTCATCTTGGATTTGACATCGCAAAGTCTTACTTCTAAGCCAGCAGTAGCCGAGCCTAAATCAATACCTATCATTCATTCATTCATTCATTGATCATGATCCCTTCTTCAAGCACCGCCTAGGGCCTACTAGGTACCTATAGTAGAAAAGAAGCCAAGGTTTGTGTATGAGCACCAATTCGGTACTTCATTTCATCTTCCACTGGATGCCCTTTTCATGTCTCTTGTTTGGTTGTGTTATACTGGCTCGAGGCTGTTCTCCTATCAATATCACATCAAAGTCTTATCGCTTATCGATATCCTCGATTCTAGATTCAATATCAACATTCAACCAATAAATGGCTGGATTCCTACCTACCTAGGTATAGTTGGTATTTGTTAAAGATCCGTGCCTCCGGACTTTCTTTTCCTTTTCTCTGTTCCGACTTTGTCTTGCTCAATATAATTGAAACAACTCCTTACTTTTTCATAATCATCGATACCCCTTACTTCATATACCTATTTATAAATTGAAACTTCAATCATATGTCGTGTTTGTTCTCGTATTCGTTGTGAAAGGAAGGAATACTTTGTTATTGACTTTCCAAAATTAAAGTCAATAATGCCATCTGATCTACAGCCTCGTAACTCTGACAAGGCTGCATGGAACAGGCTGCATAGAACTAACCTAGCAGTCTTCCATCGATCTTGCTTGAAGATCGACATCACACCTATGGGTCATCATCTGGGTCATCATTGTCCATCACAGACAGCCCAACGCTAAGACAATCCACTTAGGAAATACTACCTAGTGTGCTTTACCCAAGATCAAGAATCAACAAAAGAAATTGCTTAAACATGGCTAGAAAGAGAAAGAGAAGTCATGCTGTCACAGGAACTGATACGGATAATGGCACTGGCCTTACAGATCTCAATAAGCGTCAAAAGGCCTCTGGAGATGCCCACAGGAAGGATCCTCCGGTAAAGCAAACTTTGTTGGCCAAATACTACCCCAACGTCTTATGTCTTCGTGATTATTTACTATCAAAGCTTCCAGTATCCTCCAAGGTTAGGAGAAAGAAGTTGTTGTCAGTGGGCCACAAGCTTTCAACAAATGTTGAAGATCAAGGAGATGATCATGAGGAAGATGATGATCACTTGTTAGGTGACTTTCTTGATGGCACGTTGATAGGTGTGTCATTGAATCATGAGCTTTCTCAAGAAAATAGGTTGAAAGAGTGGGTTTCTTTCTCACAGAAAGGAGACATTTCTGTGTCAACTATTGCAAATTCAAGTGGTAATGATGTTTACTCTCAATCGGAGGTGGGTGTTTATCAATAATCTTTCTTCCGGAATGTTCTCGTCTCGGACTACTAACATCTCAGCAGATTGTTGATTTTGCTATTTGGTTACTGTTTTCAAAGTCAAAACCATCAAATGGAAGACTTCAACACTTACTTTGTCAAGGATATCGTAAAGATATCAGTTCTCATTCTGTCAATAGGGATGAAAACTTTAGAACTTCTATTCCAGGAGCCAATTCAATGTATCCCAATAGTCATGTGACAGCTATGAAAGCCTGGCCATGGCCTCATGTTCTTGCTCTGCTAGGGAAAGCTGGAGAACATGTCATGTGTGATTTGATTCTTGATTGTGGTGTTTTTGTTCAAATAGAAAATGCACATGGTAGCTATTACCAACTCAGTGGTCGGTTTCAATTGTGTCTGGTCTGTTTGATCTTGACTGACTACTACAAACAGGTCAGCCTTTAAGTGAACTCTCGCCTATCACAACTGCAAAAATCCCTGGAAAATTATCTGAGACAGACAGCCCTTCAAGCAAAAGGCAGCAACCAGTTATCTTACATAATCCAGCGGAAATCAATTTTGTAAGAAATCGGATGCTTTACGCAAAAGCTGCTTTGAATGCAAAGGGTGAGGTTCAATTTGGTTTTAGGCACATCCGTAGGTCACTCTCGAGCTAGCAGCTTGGATTCACATTGATTGATTGTTCTGCGCAGATGTTTTGAACAGATTTCCATGTCAAGTCAATGATGGAAGTGGTGCCATGCTTAGTCGTCGACGGCCTGAGGAAAACGTCACTCAGATTCTAATGTACATATTCCCCATGCAATTCGGCCTTCACAATGTCTTTACTTCGGAAGTTGACAATCGAGAGACTGTTCAGCCATTCAAAGATTACACTTTACGTGAAGAAGAAATTGATTCCATATATCCTGACGCAAAGGCCATCAAAATTCCCAAAAGACTCCGTGGAAAACCCAGGGATCTGGTCAAAAAATTCCAAATCCTGCACTCGAGGTGCTCATACAATAGCTTGTTAGAATACTATTGCCCGGTCAGTCTCCAAATTGAAATTCAGTGGCTTCTATTAACACTTGCAGAATCGAAAGAATCAAGATGGCAGCGTAGAGGACACGAAAGAAAAGGGTTCTTCTAATTCGACGTCATTCGAAAGCCAATCCTCTGGGAAAAGCCGCGTCTCCAACACATTTTTATCGAGCGTCCCCTCAATTCCAGCCCAAAAATCAACTTTGATGGACCATGCAAGTTCTAGTGCTGACGTATCTGCTTTCTGTCATGCCGTGCTTCGAAATATCGTACCGCGCGAATTCTGGGGCACAGGAGATGTGCAAGTACATAACCAGGGCATCTTCCAAAAGAATGTGGATAACTTTATTAGACTAAGAAGGTTTGAGGCTTTGTCACTCCACGAAGTTACTCAGGGATTCAAGGTAAAATTTCTGTCATAGTCAGATTTCATTTTGTTAATGTTCAACAGATTGCCGAGATTGAATGGTTGGGCGCACCAAATACCTCGAACCAAAAATTGTCACTAACTGATTTCAATAAACGACGTGAAATTTTTCTTGAATTTGTATACTATTTATTTGATTCAGTTCTTATCCCCTTGGTTCGTTCGAACTTTCATGTCACTGAGTCGAATATTCATCGTCAGCGACTCTTCTTCTTTCGTCATGATGTTTGGAAATCTGTGGCTGAGCCTGCTCTGGCTTCATTGAAGTCAAAAATGTTCGAGGAAGTGAAATTGGGAGAGGCCCAGCAGATACTTGGTTCGCGAGCCTTAGGCTTTAGTCAGATGCGACTGATACCTAAGGAGACTGGCGTGCGGCCAATTATGAATCTAAGAAGAAGAGCAATGCGGAAAGGTGATAAGCGTATGCTAGGTGCCAGTATTAATAGTGTGTTGGCGCCTGTTCACAATGTACTCACCTTCGAGAAGGTAAGCGTCATTTATAGTCCGGCTTTTTTTTTTGGCAAAATCTAACATCTGTAGGTAAGCAACATAGGTCGCCTTGGATCAACTCTTTTCTCTGTCGGCGATTTATATCAAAAGGTCAAATCCTTTAAAGCGGCTCTAAACTCATCAACAAAACCTCTCTACTTTGCCAAAGTTGATGTCCAGGCAGCATTCGATACCATTCCTCAAGCAGCAGTCATCAAACTCATGACCACCGTTCCTTCCGAATCAGAGTACAGGTTCGCAAGACATGTTGAGATCCGACCTACAGAAGCCTATGCCACCGACCCTAATGCGCCAAATAAACCCATCAGAAGATGGAAATCACACGCCAAATCCCTTCATCATCTGGACAATTTCGATGAGGATCTCGAAAACGATATAGCCATTGGCAAGAAGAACACTGTTTTTGTTGAAAATATTGTCAACCAAATCCGTGATACTGACTCTCTTCTTCAAATTTTGACCCAACACATTTCACAA